CCAGCCAAAGGATTTTAGTGGATAAGGCCTTCTCGGTACCCAAGTGCGTACGGCTGGCTCGAATGTCGCATCATTCAGACAGACTGTTGAGGAAGATCCTGGGAACGGTGCCAAGGGCACAAAGAGATGTCTTGAGTGAGATCTGGGGAGAAGAACTCTTGAGCTTAGGAGACGAAAACAGGAGTAATTTTGAGAGACAGAATGCCATCGGGAAGCCGATGAATAGTGTCCCAGCGCCGGAGGAGGATGATATGATGCACGAGAAAATGATGGAACTGGAGCCTCTGCTGGAAGCCTCGGGAGAACGCAATCTCCGAAGCATAGAAATTACACATGGGGAGTGCCCATGCCACTGCTTGGCACAGACAGTGTGGTACCCGGAGCATACAAATTTTTGTTTAGTGTGGGATGCAGAAGAAATTTGGTCAATCGGGTTACCCGATTATCAGCAGAAGGTGACTATCTTGGTAGTAAGTACGATGTTGGCTTTACGATGGATCGAGGAAAAGGTAACGAATTATAGGGAGTCGAAGACACCAACGGCGGAATCGATATACGCTATAGATTACAGCAGGAGACTTGAGTTGTTTGAGACTGTATGCAAGGTATTCGCCATACCAATGGAAGTCAGGCACGTATGGAGCCGCATAAAATTCTTTCCGTGGTTTCGAGCGACGTTGACATCTTGGTTGTACATAGCGACGAAGGATCACATGAAGAAATACCAAAAGGAATATCGACAGTTCCTGGCGGAGATAGGTCCGGAAGCCTTCAAGTGACTACTGCTGACCCATCGAAATGCGATCACAACAGGTTGGAAAAGAGTCGGTAGGGTGTCTAGAGATAATACCAAAGCAAGAGAGTCGATACTGGAGGAAGACTTGGCGAAGAACGTGAGCTTGAGCCTGCACAATTCCTTTTGCTTGAACAGGGAATTGAAAACGAAAGGTTTACCGAATCAGGCAACGAGGTTGCAGGAGCAGAAGGAGTGGATGCAATCCGTCGAACAATTGAGAGCATGGGAAGAAATTGTGATTAACTCCGATGATGAGGAAGCGCTACTAAGGCAGATCACGGTGTCAAATTCGTCAGGTCCTAGCACTTCGAAGGCTAGGAATACGAAGTGAGCAGGGAGCTCAATGTGGGTTTCTTGAATCTTGAGAGGGAAAGGAAGGGACTCGAGTGTGAACTTGGATGAAATCCGAGGTCACGAAAAAGAAATTTTAACAAAACAAAGTATTGTTATTAATATGCTATAATTATTATATAAATTAAAATGTTGCATGACAATTTCCTGATTGGATAGGACAAAAGAAATTTTATTATAAGCTTCAAAAGCGGATATTTAAGGTGCAGGTATTTGAAAATTTTGATTGCTTTTGTTTAGCGATAGTGTGACAATTTTATATGGTTGTGAATTTTGGGGTGTAGATAAACTTAAGTCTGCTGCAAACTTCTGTAAATGACCACTGGCACTGTATCTTGAGCAACACTTGGTATTCTGGGGACTCACTGGCAGGCGGCAACACGCGATGAGGACATCGATCTTGAGTCCGGGGAGTATGTGCCAATCGGTCATATTTGGAAGTTTGACCTTGAGGAATACGAACTACGTAATTTTGGGAGGAAATTTAGTTTTTCAAAAGTTCGAATTGAGCCTGTCATGCTCAACTTTCTCGCGAAAACTGAAAATCTCAGAAATAGAAGATCAGAACAACTGATTTACAATTGCGGGAAAGTACTTGAAAAAAGCAGCGGGAAATTGCTATTCGCAATTTCCAGATACAAAACAAACGTGAGTAGAGCCGTCCTATCCTGAAATAGAAGAAGGAGTGATTACAAAAGAAGAGTATATCTATTCGAGTTGAACCAGAGTGAACCCTGAGTGAAAAGGTGGACAGCTGGGGTATCCCAATGGTCCAATCCCAAAACTTGATTCTAGAGTAAAAACTTATTTCCCTTGCTGGAATTCATCGACAGCAAACTTCTCAAAATATTACACTTAATGCTAGAGTTATTGATTAATTTAGTTACTCCAATTCTTGAGTGTGCTGGTATGTGAGTACCCAATTTAGTTTTCTTGAGTGTGTTTTATGATTGTTATGTTGAGATAAGGAGAGTTTTAGGTTGATCCATCTGAAATGGATCAAAATTCCACTGTCTAATAAAAAGTAACTGTGCGGATTGTTCCGACCCTGTTTTTAACGGCGTTCGTGTATTTTGGCTATTTTGAGACCTAAGTATGGGGACGTTCTTAATTTTTAGAGTGGGGGAGTATTTGGTAGTGGCCTTTAAGCTGTAACGGGTTTTTAGTCTCATGTCGCAAGCGAACCGAATTGGCTCCGACCGTTCGAGGTAGAAAAACACAGGAAATAGTGTCCCTGACTTTTGAGCCAATGGTTATAGGGCCTATTTTTCTTTAACCTCATATGTGACCGAAGTAGGCGACTGTTACAAAAGCATTGACGATGAAAAGATGTGCTTAGCCGCTAGCCAGTCGTTTTAGAACCTAGCTTTATTTTCCGTCGGTATGTACTTCCGGGCGAATGTTACAATAACAAAATAAAACACACTCAAGAAAATTAAACTTGGTACTTGCATACCGTCACGGCCTCTAGAATCGAGTAACTAAACTATAGAGCAACTCTAGAAATGATGGGTAATTAAGTTTAACTCGAGAAGTTGGCAATGAATTAAATTTAGCTCAAGAAATAAGTTTTGGGTCTGGACCATTGGGAGACTTCGGTTGTCCACCTTTCCACCGAAGGTTCACTCTGGTCCACTTGAATTTACACTCCTTTCATTCTCGATTATTTTGTCTCTCCTGCCACGAATAAGACAGCTCTACTCTCTTTCGATTTATGTATCGGAAGTTGCGAATAGCAATTTCTTGCTGCTATTTTTGACTACTTTCCCGAGATTGTAGTTCGAATCTTCTGATATTATTTTTCTGATATTTTCAGTTGTCGCGAGAAACTTGAGCATGACATGCTCAACTCGAAATTTTGAAAAACTGCATTTCACCCCAAAATCCAGACTAAACGTTTTCTCAAGGTCAAACTTCCAAATATGACCGACTGTCACAGATTGAAAAATTTTGAAATGTTTGGTTGTTGGTGTAGTTTCGAGCTATTAAATTAGCATGCAGGCTTACAATAGCTTAATTTAAGCCGTGAAAACTTAGCTTTTTATCCGAGTAAAGTTAGTTTATAGCGCCAGGAATGAGAAAAATTTTTTGAAATTATAAACGTGTTTTTACGATTTTTTTTTCATTTCTACAAAATTTATTTTCCAAACGACCTAGTCTGCCAAAAATTCGTAACTGCCAAAAATTCCTACTGTGACTGCCAAAAATTGCTTAGTTCTTTTGTCACTCAGACTGGGGTCATTTAATGATAGGGTTGAGTTTAAAGGAAAAAACATGCCGATCGTTTCGGAATGTTAGAGCAATTTTTTTAATATGAATTTTAGTTGTCAGTTTTTCCGACCATTGAAAATTGGTAAGAACTTTGATTTGGGGTCTGTTTTAGTTTTTGGTCTTTTTTGCTTTCCACACAAAATCAGGTACCACAAATATTGATCGGACTGTGTTGAAAGATACATCATATTAAAGCCCTTACAGTCGAGATTCGAACCACATGGAAATTAAAAAAAAAAATCACAGTGTCGAGAAAAATCGGTTTGAAATTGTTGATTGTTTCTTCTTTATAGAGAGTAGAGCGAGCGAGAAGTCTGATTTTAATTGCTTGAAAGCTCACAATAGTTTAATTTAAAACGTAAAAACTTAGTTCTAATTGGGTAACCCTAGTTTTCTTTGAGTTTTTAAGCGTCTTTTTGGAATAAAAAAACGGCAATAAATTTTTTTGATTGTTTTTCGTTTTACTAGTAATTTTTCTACAAAAATTCTTTTTCAATTTGCGTATTTACTATGACTGTCGATTATACCTAATCCCAGTTTTTTATTCAGCTCCTTTGATCACACCACGCCGAAAAAAAATGACAGTAATTTGATAAATTTTTGTTGTATTTTTTTAAAAACTTTGGTCGGAACATTCTGCTATAACCAGCTATATTTAACCACATTAACCAGCTATATTTGTTTTTACTTTTTGTTTTCCACGCAAAATCAGATACTACATTGTCGTCGGACTGGTTTGAGTGGTCTATGATATTAAAGTCTTTTCAGTATTGAGTCGAACCACATTAAAATTTTCAGTGTCTAGAAAAACCGGTTTGAAGTTTTTGATTTTTCGTCCTATTTTGAGCGAATAAAGCGAGCGAGATGGCTTGTTTATGCTTAATTTAAGCCGTTTACAAAAACTTGTTATTGCTTACTTTTAGTTTTACTCGAGTAAAAAAGTTTTTGGCGTTTTTTAACGCCATTTTGGGAATAGAAACTTCAAAATTTCAAAAAATTCCGCCAAAAAAGTTGAAAATATTGATTATTTTTGTTCGATTTTTTATTATTTTTGTTTTGTTTTTCTAGTTATTTTTCTTCAAAATGTGTTGCCCGATTTGCCTATTTTAGTATAACTGTCAAACGTGCCTAATTTCTAGTTTTTTTGTTCAGATCCTTTCATCACATCACCCAAAAATAACGACACTAATTTGAAAAACTGTTTAAAGTGTGTTTTTCAAAGACTATGATCGGAACATTCTGTGCTAATTGCACAGTAACCGGCTATCCTTGTTTATAGTGTATATGACTTCATAAAACGCTGTTGTGATGCAATTGGCCAATACTGTACTTTAAAGCATGAAAGTCATACGGGGATTTTGCAACGAAAATAAAATTAATCAATGCCATCTTAAGAAATTACGCTCTTCAAAAGAATAAATTTGGTTCTGTAATTGTTCTTTTTGATAATTTGTTTTTATCATTATCAGATGTTGTGTTCACGCAGCATGTGCGCTTATTTATACTATTTTTTAGTGAGTAAAGCGCTTTGGTTCAAATTTGGCATCTCCATGAAGAGAATTTAAACACAGTTGTTCATCGTTTGAACAAGCTCTTACCAACTATTACCACTGCTTAAGCTCTGAGGCGTCAGCTTAACACGATATATCAAATTGTACAATGGTGCTTAGTTTTTCTATGTAAGGGCAGCACATAAATTTTGAATTGTAAATTTTTGCTCGCTTGTGACTACATGAATGTAACATTATTTGATTATTTAGTGCCACCGTCAGCTGCCGTTATTTTATTTTATTTTTACCTCTTTTGAATTACCAGCATAAAAATATTGAATAACTTGTTACATATTTTATGTTGTTTCCATTTTAGAGCCGCTATTGAACATTGTGCGGCTTAAAGTAGGAAGAAAAACGCGATAATACACAGAAAGGAGAAGGAACTACCATCGCATTGGTTGGTGGATTGGAAGAAAGAAAGAAATAAATAGAGGCTGAGAGTAAACTAGACTGCTGTTTAATATTGCATCGTGGTAGCATCAGGGATTTGCTCTCTCTCTCTCTCTCTACAATTTTAGTTCCTACAACAAACAGTACATTGCTAACTAGTGCGTACACTCCGCCGTTCAGATAGAATCTTCATTGCATTACCAATATATCATACAACATGCTACCAATTACAGAGCTACAGGAAGAGAGGGTTGCAAGTTACCACTGCTGAAGTTATAACACAACACTGTTACCATCCCTAATACTTTGTTATAATATCCACAAAACTGGTTTTTAAAGGCCTGTTTGGAATTGTAAAAAGGACCGGCGATAGCATCTTTTTAAACCCAAAAATAGATTTAGTTAGCGACTCTAAATTTGGGTGAAATTTTAACCTCAAGCTCCAGTACCCTAACCGGGAGTTCAACTATACTACTCTTGAATGAAATTGCACTCTGCTTCAGAAAGAGCTCTTTGCAGTAAAAGTGCACCTCTATTTTCGGTGCCCAGATTTCGATCCATTAGTAATATGGTCACAATTTATTCTCGTGGGAGCATAGAACCTAGCCCGCCGTAAATTGGGCTCTTTTGTCAAACCAGTTTTGCACCTGATTTTGTAAATATTACCGTTTTTGCTCGATCGAAATGACTGGGTGTGAACCACTGCTTTCGTAACATTCCGTGATAATTCAGATCTCTGAAAAAGTCCAAGTCCTTAACTTGACACTTGATATTTGTTTGTTGACGGATCATTTTGTATGGTCATTTACATTTCATACCGAATCATTATTTTACTTGACTATAACAGCAATTGCTTCATTTTGACCTGAAACGAACCAGCTTTCAAATCGAACTTATTGTATTGAATTTCGTTTGGCTGCGAACTGATTTAAGTGCAGTTAAAATTTATGTCGGTCGATACCTTATCGGCTCACAGATCTCCCGGAAACGCACGTCGTGCATTCGGAACAACCGCCAGTCGACATTTGATGGGCCCTAACGCCGCTGGTGTTGGTAACAACATATCCACTTTGCGTAATACGACGAACCTTGGTCCGATTTCAGGCGAACATAGTCACCGACGATCGTCTGAAGTGACAACTAATAGCGTGATGACACAAGGCAACAGCAATATTATGAATCAAAACGGAGTTGGAGGAAATAACGGGACATATCTACCTCCGATCAAAAATAGTCACATGACCTCTTTGAATAGTAGCGGGGCCGGAAATCATCAAGTGCACCATTCCTACGTGTCACACAAAAACAGTTACCCAAATTACTACCAACCGCCACAAAGCGGAGTCCCGGTCAACGGTAATGCGAATAATGCAGTTTCGAACCACTCCCTGATTGACAATCAGCCACAGGTATCCGGACATTCATACCCGGTTGTGCAGCCCTTGTACGGATCTCAAGACCAACAGTTTTGGCAGTCGAAGAAAGATCTGACCGCAGGTGGCGGAATTCCAACAACACAGAACATCGCCGCGAACAAAACCAGCGATTATTCAACAGCATCCTTGCCAAGATCCAGGGATCGAGAATCCTCGAACCGAACCCTAGAAAGAAGACCCTCGAACCAGAGCAACGCGTCCAGTCGGCAATTTCCTGGAAAAGATACCAGGGTGTCTCCAGGTGGCGCCCTAACCGTAGACTCAGCCATGAAGCAATACATGCATAAACTCACAGATTTTGAGCACAGGGAAATTTATGTGTACAATAAAGTCTACTTCTGTGGTCCAAATGCAAAAAAGAGATCAGGAATCATCGGCGGCAACCAGAACTGCGGATACGACGATGAAAACGGATGTTACATTCCAGTACCTCATGATCACGTAGCCTACAGGTACGAAATGCTGAAAGTGATCGGCAAGGGAAGCTTTGGCCAAGTGCTGAAGTGCTACGACCACAAAACCCAAACCCACATTGCTTTGAAAATGGTGCGAAATGAGAAGAGATTCCACAGACAAGCACAGGAAGAGATTAGGATCCTAGAACATCTGAGGCGCCAAGATGTGAACAACAACCACAATATCGTCCATGTTTTGGAGAGCTTTGAATTCAGGAACCATCAGTGTATAACGTTTGAGCTTCTAAGCATGAACTTATATGAGCTTATCAAGAAAAATAAATTCCACGGATTCACGTTGCAACTAGTCCGCAAATTCGCACACTCACTTCTCCAGTGTCTGGAGTGTCTGCACCGGAACAAAATCATCCACTGTGATCTGAAGCCGGAGAATATTCTGCTGAAGCAGCAAGGGAGGAGTGGAATCAAAGTGATCGACTTTGGAAGCTCCTGCTACGAACACCAGAGGATCTACACGTACATTCAGTCGCGCTTCTACAGAGCCCCAGAAGTCATACTTGGTTAGTAAGCTACTACACAAAACAGTAGCGGATTTGGGTGGGGGTAGGCGGACGCCTCCTTTCAGGGATTCGACGCTCCGGCGACCCAAAGGGTCCATTCTTTAGTACTATTTTAAGACTTCAATTTTTGGCTGCCCGACCCGAAAGTTTTTCTTGAGGCGCCTTTGGCGCCAAAATATACTTAATTTGGGTAGGGAGAGCGCCAGAAAAAGTGTTTTTTTTTTGTTTCAAAACTTTCCAAAAAGTGTCTATAAACGCGTACAACTTTTTTTTCAAGTTTACTGGGTCCAGATAAAACCTAATTGACTTAAATATGATATATGACTTGCCCTATTAATTTTTAGTACCTGAAACCTAAACCATAACAACTTTTTTCCAACCTAAGTGGCAAATATTGGTGCTACTTTTGGGGCAGCTCTACAGCTTTTTCATAGCATGTCCTTTGACATTCGAGTATAGATAGGTTAACACAGTTGATGCTTTATGAATTCATCAAATGAACTGAAAAAAGTGATTTGTTTTAATCAACATAACAATAATGAAAACCCGATTTCAGAATTTTTCTAATTCATTATATCTCGAAATTTTTTGAAATGCATACATTATACATAATTTTATACATAATGTGGCTTTATGCTTTGCAATTTCTTACATGCAAAGTTGGTATGGATGCCTTCAGTTTGTTATATTCCAAATTATTACTTGCAAAATTGAGTCTATTTGTATTTGGTATCACTTTTGCTGAATTGCTTGGGCAATTTATTAGCATATCTAACTGCCTTTTTGGTAACTAGTGTTTGTAGGTTGTATAACTTGCGTGGCTGAGTGGATAGTGCGTCAGACTCAAAGTCTCTTGATTGCAGTAGGTCGCCGATTCGAATCCTGCACATAGCCGATTTTTCGCTAATTCGAGGCTTTCTAATTTTTATTATTTCACTTGATAGAGCTGCTTTTTTGCCATGTTCTTGCGAGTGTTTCCGAAGCGCAGCCTCGCCTCTGTGTAAACCAATGTATTTTAAAGCATAGTTTTTTCATAACCTTTGTGAGTGTGAGCAATAAGACTTAATTATTTTACCCGTACTGCGGGAAGCATATATACGAGCTCTTCAGCTCTTTATGGCGAACTGCTGCTAACCCTAGATATATAATTTTTTCATGAATATTTTTGGGGCTGGGAAACATTGCCTTGTGGGGAATCCCTCATGGCAGAAAATCCAAATAAAAAAGGTACATTAGCCAATCTGAAATAGTTTTTCATACCTGGCAACGTTTTGGACAATCAATGTTGAAGTTTTAATTGGCTGAAAGTTTTCTTATCTTGGCCTTTTCCCACGCGAATAGTCCCCTTGTCTCACACTCATGCCGCGAATGGGGATATAGGCGGTACTCGAACTTCTAAACTTCTGACCTCCAAAGGTTAACGGAGGATATTGCGGTTTTTTAGGTGCGCGCTACGTCCTCAGAAATAGAAAAGTGGAAATCGGTCAGCCAAAAATTGGAAATGGCAAAATAGTACCAAGGGGGTAGTTTGGGTAGTCAGTGGGTAGAATCCTTGAGGGGAGGGCGAAAGCTAATTGAATCTTCCTTGTGCTGTACCAAATATCCTCACCTAATTATTAAATGGCCCTGGCACATATGTGACTTCAATTCAGTTCCATTTCCTGTTTTTTATAAATCCCATTATGGCCAATACTTGAAATGAATATGTTGGTGATTAAATAAAATTTCAGATGAAGTTGCAATGACTCATTTGGCTATGAATTAGAGATTGTTTTATGAATTAGAGTAAATGCGATGTTTGTTCACATCAATTCATCCTCTAGCCCAATATTGTTCAATCAATCATACTTTTTTTGTCAAAATCAGCCTGAACAAAGTTGAAGAATCTAAACCAACAATCAAAAGCTAGGGGTTACAGAAAGAGAACTGAAAGTTCCTATAGTTGACCTTTTGCGCCTGGATAAGTGGTTGATCTGATGAGAACACTCAGTCAAAGTGCTTTGAGTTTGGTTGAACTTGTCAGATATATCAAATTGGCTTTGAAAGGGCCATAAGTAATTGTTACTTTTTGATGGAAAATATATGCCAAAGAAGCGATATGAAAACTATTTTTATTAGAATGTAATTACGAGTGAGTTTTTTTTGGGAAGGCAATAAAGTTAGTTTCATAAAATTTGCCCGAAGATAAGATTTAAAAAAAAACAGCGAAGTTCAAAACAGTTTAGTCGCTATATGCATTTCGACCTTGTTGTTTACCAATAATTTAAACCTTTTTGATCCTGTTTTGGCTCAAATTTCCTTCTACTATAGAGCTTGAGTTTTTCATATCCGGATTATTTAATATTTAGAAGCAGCCTGAGAATAACAGTCGATTTGTTTACCGGTGATTGCTGTGACGCTTGATGTCTTCTTAACAACTTTTGGAAAAACTAAGCATGGATTGAAGGATTTCGAGTTCATAGTTTTTTACTTTGCAAGACCCCAAGGGCAAACTGGTCTCAGCCAAATTTACTATTAAACGTTTCGTTTCTGTTTAATACCTACCGAAAGGGGCTTGTTATAAAGTACCATACTAGGTACTATACGACGGAATTGGGATGAAAACTCGCTTTTATCGCCGTATTTTACGTATTATCAAATCCTTACCACTGCCCCAAACCAACTGACTCAAGAAGGTTCTTAAATTTTCAACCTGCTTTACAGCTCCTACTTTTTTACCGAGCAGTTGATGAATAGGTTGAATTGAAATTCATCATTACTGGAAAATTGTTTTTTTTTTTCGCCGGGGGTATCTTGTTAAAATAGGTGAAATTCTACCATTCGTCAATCCGAGAATGTACTGTCTGATATTTTCTACTCTATTCAAGTCTTATCACTCTTGCGAGAGCAAGTGTCTTATCGGCGGGTGCTAAGACGTTTCTTCGGTAATATGTTTTCTTGCTAATACCCTATGTTTTCTTGCTAATACCCTAGCTAATACCCTAATATGTTTTCTTGCTAATACCCTAGTCAGCGAAGTTGTTTTCTGAAAGATTCTTTCAGGCTACAGCGTGTAACTGGTGCGAAATAAAAAAAAACAACAATTTTCTGATTATCGTTTTTCTGTTTGTTTGTCAATTTACTTCACAGCGCACGGACTCTTATGCGTTATTTTTTAAACTTTATTAAACCCCCCTTTTTTATCTTTTAAAAAGAGAGGTTAACTTAGTTTTTTTTGTTTTGTGCTAAGTTAACTTCGATTGCGGTTGTTACTATTGGTTTCTGCCAATGAGTCTTGCGCCTGTTTTTATTTATCAGCTGTCTGATAATTGAATGCGAAACACCAATTGACGACAATGTGTTTTTTTTGTTAAATTGTTTCGAAATCTTAAAGTTAGATAAAAGCTTCTTCCTGTCGAAATCTGGTAAATGATTTTTTCAAGTGAACACTAAGATATGTTCCGCTTCGCTTCTGTGTGAAAGGTATCACATTTAATTTATTGCTAAACAACAAGGTTGAATCATCACCGTGTATTGCAGAATGAACCTAATTTGACTAAAAGGGTTTGTAATTATTTTTGTAATTGAAATGTACTTTTTATTTTTTGTGGATACAATTTTTAAAACATTTTTTTTATCAACTCCCACTTTGCCTTATCAATTGTTTCTGGATTCAATTTTTCCTGTCAATGCGCATTAAACTTAATCGATTTGGGAAGAGGGATTAAGTACTTAAAAGCAACCAAGAGCTTACGTTCAATTATTTGAACTGAATCCAAATGCTAGGAGTCATGTTTCTATTTTAACCATTTCTATTTTGGTCGATATTGCTTTACCTGTGCTCTGCTTGAAAGTGGCTGATTTTCAACAGGTTGAATATTTTTGACGCCTTAAATTGAAGCTGTAAATGAGAACTGTTTACCTTGTATTTAGTTCTACCTCTAATTTGCGAGGAAACTTGATAAATCTGAAAAGACGATTTATATCTATGTTTGAACTTTTGGCAGTTATATTGTTGAAATTACACTACGATGATTTTCGAAATATCTGATTATCGTCGACAGATTTGTGCTGGGATGCCTGAAATTTAAGAACGCAGAATTTCACTCAAACGGTTGAAAGAGGACCCCTTTTGGGAGAAAATTTTAAAAGGTTTCTTGTCTTACCGAAAGGGATTTCAACAGTTTTTCATTTAAAACGAGACGGCTGTTGTCTGATCGAATGCAAAACACCAATTATGTTTTTCGTCAATATGTTTTTCGTCAATATGTTTTTGTTCTCTTTGTTAGTTTTTGGATGTTCCAAAATTGTTTTGATTACAAGTTTTGGCTTGAAACTGTCACTGTTCCAATCGTTTTTGAATTCCTGTTTTTTTTGAAGTTTTTATAAAAATCGAAAAACTTAAATGAAAAAATATTAAAAATCTGGAGCAATGAAAATTTTAGAGATAAATACTTTTTGTCTGGGCTCAAGTTTCCGAGTTTTTGGGCTTTTTTCATTTCCCGCACCTGCTAAGTTTTACTTGACAAATTTCACAGTGTCTCAGTTATATTTCATTTGCGATCTTGTAATCGGAAACTAGTTTTTTCCCCGGAAACGATTTTTCTTACAAATATCTGCATAAAATACTGCTCTTACAAAATTTTGTACATTCAACTTCATGAGAGTTCAAAAAAACTACCTTGTAGTTCATCGGAGGTACGAAAATATTTCGGCTGATATTTGTCGGCTGAGTTTCCATTTTTTCACTTGCAATTTCGATTATTTGGTACGCTTTTTAGCAGCCTTTTTTTCAAACTTCTGTATGTTTTTGTGGGATTGAGTCGTAAAAACTTTGATTATCAAAATTGTATAGCTTTATAACTTTTTATGACAACAGTTTTGTTTTCGGCTTAAGAGGGATCGATCTAAGGGAAGGGTCCATCCTGTTTTCTTAATATGGGTTGGGTTTTAATAAAAGGTCAATTATAAGCAGTTTGGAAATTCAATGCGCTTCAACCTGATCCATTTTTTGCTTCGAAAGTTGAAAACTTCAATTTTTTTGGTTTCACTGTTTTCCAATTCGAGTTACTAGCTTTCCGTTCATTTTCCGTCTGCAAGGTTGCAGTTTTGTGTTTATGTGGTATCGAATATGGCGCGAAGATCGGCTTCGCCTTTATGCAGAAGTTGTTCACGCTCAGATATGTTTTTTTTTGCATTTAGACGTTTGGTTTTTTTTCAAGTTCAGTTCATTTCATTTGTTAAAAGGAAGGCAAACTCCACTAAAATGCCTTTTGTGGCTGCTCTTTATAACTTTTTGAGACAAAGGTAGTAAATTAGTTCCAAGTTGGGTTTTAGTTGGGTTTTAATAAAAGGTTCACCAGGGTAGACGTCAAGCGGGCAATTATTATGCCCTTGGTCTATCCTCTTCAGATATGTTATACAAAATGTCAGATAAATTCAATGATGACTATTAAAAATGTGTTTCTTCATTTTCTGTATTTTTGCATTCAATTGTCTGAAGAAATAAATTCTTTCTTTCTTTCTTTCTTTCTTTCTAAGTAATTTTAAACATAACTTATCAAAAAAAATTTCGACTTCCTTCTCTTTTTCTCTTCACTATATTGTATTGCGATGTTTGTGTTAAATAGCTAGTGTTCCGAATCTCCGCTTCGCCTTTTTGTAAAATTTCGGCATTTATTCTAGCTATTACCATCATATTTGTTCTTCATAAATAACCTTGTAAAACCACTCAATACACCATAAAAAAGATGCTCATGTGATGTGTGTGAATAGAATGAAGTAGTCGTTCCAAACGTTATTTGGCTATGTAATAAATATCTGTTTGTATTTAGGTGCTAAATACGACATGGCTATCGACATGTGGTCATTTGGCTGCATTCTTGCCGAACTCTACACCGGAATCCCCATTTTCCCAGGAGAAGACGAGGGCGATCAGCTTGCCTGTATAATCGAACTACTCGGCATGCCATCACAGAAGCTCATAGAACAGTCGAAAAGAGCCCGCAACTTCATTAGCTCCAAGGGATACCCCAGGTACTGCAGCGTCACATTACAGGACGACCAGGTTGTCTTAGGACCTGGAAAGTCTAAGCGCAACAAGATCAGAGGAACCCCAGGGTCCAAGTCATGGGGAAAAGCGCTGAAAGAGTGTGACGACCCAGTTTTCATAGACTTCCTAAAAGGTTGTCTTCAGTGGGATCCAGAGAAAAGATTCCAGCCCTCCCAGGCCTTCAGACACGACTGGATCCGCAAACGTACTGTAAGACCTGGCGATGAACCAACTAGTCACGGGGTCAGCAATGGTCACATGTCGCATAGTCAGACAAACAACAAAATGTCTTACTTGTCAACAGGTCAAATTGGGGCAAATAAGCAGAACTCAAGTTCAACGATGACCTTGAACATCGCTGGAATGACTAACGGAGTCACAGGGGTAGCTGTGCCGGCAGCGATGGGCGACACGAAGTTGACGGCGTCTTCAGGTCGTATCGCGAACAGTTTCAATGACATATCGAATATCAGTCAACAACACAATTCACATTCGAACGCGCTGCCAAAAATATCTTCATTCCACAAAAACTGATGATCACATATTTGGTCACGCTCCAAAATTTATTCCTCACTTGTTAAGCTGGGCTTGAATTGAAAGAAAAAAACTGTGTAGATAGCTTGAATGTGATCGAATTTGTTCGCGTTTTTTATGTGTCACAAGTCTCGATATGTTCATTTTCATTTCTTCGAAGGACTAACTCAGTGCTTAAAGTTTTTAAGAATTTAGTGTTATACAAGACATTGAATGTCTTGAAATTCCAACCAATTTGTGCTTAAATCCCTAATTGTCACCTCAAAGTTTTCTAAAAAGGAATTATATCTGGATGTCCTGTTTAAACTTTGTTTGCAAATAAATAGTTCAGAAATATTGGAATAATTATTTGTAATTAAAAATGAGCGTAGTTTCATTGTAAATGAATTAACTGCAATTTTATTTCTGCCTGAAAGCATCCCCTGCCCACTAATGAAGTTGTAAAGAAATAATTGGTTGCTGCTTAAATATTCTGTGCTGCATGTAAAATTCGAACCACCTGCCACGCCATGAAAATTTTGAAGTCATGAATTTTTTAAGGAATATTTGAATTTTTTGCAGATGGTTCTGTTTTACCGCCACTTATTAAAACTGAAAGGGCTTTGATGTATGGTTTGACGTATGTACTTGGCAAAAATAGACAACTTGAAGTCTTGTTGGTGCGTTAATGGAACCAATAATCAATTTGGATTATTTTGCTATGCTTTCAGTTTCCCTCAAATTACAAATTTTACGCAATTAAAGAATTTTTTTGAACTGAATCTCTTCTCAAACAGAGAAATCAATAAAGCGAAAACACTCGTTGATGAGCTCGATATGCAATGTAAATTTTACTTATTGATAGAGATTTCTTGCTGGTATAGCGGGTGGGTATCAGTTAACATTGAATGGTTCAAGTTCATCTATGCCACTTTTGGCGTGTTTTGAGATCGGGAACTTAATAACAAGAGTGGTTCGCTCGAAACTCGGTTACGGAACCAAATTAAATTGTTAGATGCTTTGTCAACACGACATATGGAGCTAGTTAAGTGGTCATTGTTGTTGCATAACATGTCATTCGATCTGGTATTGAGTCATCCTCGGAAAGTTGTAGGGATCATTTCATCGACATATTTTGACCTCCTAAATGTTTTATACTTAATTACAAATCAAGGCCATCCGCCCAAAATTTTTTGTGAATTGGTTGCTCGACAAATAATCCAAATTTTTGTATGTTTTGCGTCGGCTCTTTTAAGTTTGACACATGAGTTGTATTTGACGTTCAATTAAGTTCACGTCGAGGTTAAGGATTGTAAATGTTTATTGAAAATACATAGACGGCATCATAAGACAAATGCTTTATATCGGATTGTAGCAGTTGATCCTAGCTAGCCTGCAGGCATGTTGACTGCGCTTATTGACAATGAAAACGAAATTACAGAGTGATTAGGCTTATAAATACACCTGCTATTTCTGGAGCAGTTTCAAGCAAGAATGAAATCAAAGCAAATATGAATTTGACTGCTTTTCGGTTGACTTGATGGATCACGATATCTACATACCTACAACGCCCTTAAAATAGAAAGTAGTTCTATAAAATATTTCGAAAAAAGGGCCCTAAATGTGTTTAGAGAGAACTCAAAAATCCATATAGCCAAACAAAAACCTAAACAGCAGAGGGAAATGTATTAATGGAATCAAGTAAGTAAGATTAAAATGACTCACGTCTATTTTTTCAGGAATATTTTATTGATTGAGACTTTGTAAAAAAAAAACTAACCCTGCTTGAGAACATTGGGTTATTTATTAAATAACTGAAGTCCGCTGGGAAATCTAAAAAATATATATATTTTTTCAAAACCAAATTCATGCACATTTATTTGAACCATTTGCAATTTTGTTCTTTGAGCAATTTGCCTTGCATTTACCAAATGGAGTTGAAGGAAAACTGAAAAAGTATCAGAAAACAAATTTGAGCGTGAAAATCTTTTCGCTAACTTTTTTTTTGCCGAAACACGTAGCAAAAAAGTCACACGACCTAACAGAGTGAAACTGACTAGTTTGTTGAAGCTGAAACGTTCGTCAGCTTATTGTTTTTCTGCAAATTTAGTTTTCTGAACTTTCCAAAATTGGAATAAAAATTGCATGAATACATTCGAAAAAAAGCAAGTTGAACAAGTATAGCAGGTTGTTTCAAAATTATTCCGTTTTTTGTTCCTGGTTTGATGATAATTTAGGAAGTCTCGATCGAAATAGTAAATCAAGTCTTTTCAACAACAGTCATTCACAAAAAATGAAAACATTTTTCATCGATAGAATGAATTTTTTTTTGAAAACTTGTTTTCCTTCGAGTCACGACTTAAAAAGCTATAATATGTTACATTAATCGACCTCTTCAGCTTTGAACCGATTTGCTTTGTTGTAACCGATTTTGCTTGGAAAAAAAGCAAAATATATCATCAACTTCGAGACAAAGTTCCTCCACTCTTTGTAGTCGGAATAAACATAGATTCGTGAAAAGAATTTCGTAAATACGCTTCGAAAAAAATCAATGAGGATTTTTCGCGGTTTGACTTTTGATTACACATGCGGAGCATAGTATTACCATGCATTTTTTCTCCAACCTAAAACCCAAATAAAAGTGCTTGTTAGGTGACATTTTTGGTATATTTCTATTTACTGCTTTATGCCTAAATAAGCATAGGCAATTTAATCGCATATGTTGCAGTGATTTTAGTGTTAGTTCATGTTTGAAAAAAAAAACAGGTATTATGAAAGTTTGTGGTGTTTGTGCCACATCCCTAAATTCCATTTTAGGCTATGATTTACTACTGGTGACAACAACGCCTGCGTGGCCCATTTGCATGACTTGAACTTACTGTGAGACAACAATTGAAAGAGTTATAGAGAATGAAAACATACGTTCCAAGGAGAAAATGTTTGAGAAAGTCAATCTGTAAACGCTTAGTTTGATACATACATAAACAATTGTAGTCAACCTTTTAATAAATCTATTTGACCACTGTAAACTTCAACAAGTTTTCTTGGTTGATAAAACTTTGTAAAATCTTTCGAGAGATCAGCAATAGGGATCTCCTTGATTTCAGTATACCCTCTCTGCCTAAAACTTTTTTTCTCTAGTCTTCTGAAATTTGAGGAATACAGGCTTGCGAACAAAGTAATCCGAATGTAAGTTCCTCCCATCTGCACCCCAGCTGGTCAAGGCCAGGGGCAATGGTTCTGACTTTATCAAATCATAAGAACTAATTCAAACGAAATGAAAGTCACCACCGGGAACCCGTTCTACCTTTCCGAGGTAGCAGTGGTGGTCATGACGCTACAATCTGCACAATTTTGCTTATTGATTGTATGCACCGGGATAACGCCAACATGATTTGGTGGCTTGGGCATTGGCCTTGCTTTGACTCACGAATATCGGTGCTTCACATAACAGTGATTGATCATTGACTTTCTAACCGAGCACCGATAAGAGCGAGCGGACACGTAAGCACCTCATCACCTGTGCTAGTGTCTTGGTTTGATGCGAAGGATTGCCGACTCAGTTGCGGTGCTGAGACGGTCGGTTCTGATGCGCTGATCAGTTTCACATGCGGATTGCAGTTTTGCATGCGTTTTGTCCAACCGCTGACATAGACGTAAGTTTTGTTACAGTCGGACAGAGGGCAGTCGAATTTACCCTTTTTGGACCCCCCGTCGCTGGGCTGCTGGGGGATCTCTACAGTTCTTTCAATTCCTTTAATAGTCACAGTTCTTTCAATTCCTTTATCAGTTACAGTTCTTTCAATTCCTTTATCAGTTACAGTTCTTTCAATTCCTTAATCAGTTTCAATTTTTTCAATTTCACTAGCGGTGGTCTGGACCGAGGGTTCTGAATGATTATCTCTGAGATGCCTGTACATCTCTTTTTTGCTATGAAACATTCTACCACAGTTTTCATTAGCGCATTGAACTGTTTGCGACCTTTTGTCGATAGCATTTGCCTTAAAATCCGCACCGTCTGTGAACTTAAGTTTGGTTGTCGGATTGTGCAACCAGTTATCCTGGTCACACTTAGTCTTGAGCCAATGGTTGTCAAGATCAGCTATATGCTGCCGAATCCAATCTTTTTGCCAAATTTTAGCAACTTCAAGTAGATCATTCAAGCTATCGACCCCGATGTTTTTAAAGGAGGCATACAGTTGAGCCCTTCTCCTGCATAGTTGAACCCTTCTCCTGCATAGTTGATGTGCGACTGGCTTTGTTTTTACTTTTTTATTCAATTCCTTTTTCATTTCTAGCTTCTAGCGTGAGACACATTCTTTTAGCGCGGTGTATAACCGCTTCTAAGCTACCAAGATCTGTGCATCTGATTACAAGGGTCTCTAAGCCGTATAGCAGGACACGCTTTAAGAATGCCTGAATGAGGATACCCTTGTTCCTTAGTGTCAACCTTTTAGACACCAAGGCCGGTCTAAGACGTAACATTGCTATTCGTGTCTTAGAAATGCGAGCGCTGATAGATTTGTCGGCGCTCCCATCTGATGCTATGATGCTGCCGAGGTTCCCAAAGTGATTAACCTATTCTACCTGCTCACTGAGTACGTTGGTTGGAACTATAGTATTGTCTTTGGTGTTAATTACAATACTTTTAGTTTTCTCGACAGAGATTTCTAATTGAGCCAATCCAAAAGTTTTGCCATCTCATTCAGCGACTTGGTAGCATTTGCCCGGTTGTCAGAGATCAAAGCCAGATCATTAGCGTATGCAAAGTTTCTTCTCTCTCCACTGGTCTTACTTAGGAGGAAGTCAAAACGGATGATAACAACAGTGGGCCTAAAACGCACCCTTGCCTCACCCCCGGCTCACTGCAAAGGTGTTATCCTTATCAAGCTTGCCGATGGGTTTGGCGTGGAGCGCTTCAACCAAACTGATGATATCTCCTGGGATTCCAAAATCCCTTAGGGAGATAAACAGCACTTCCCTATCAATTGAATCAAAAGCCTTCTTCAGGTCGATGAAAGTCATACAAAGAGGTTGATGGTTTTTAATCCTTCTTTGCAGCAAACATCTAATTGCCAAGATAGCTTGGCCCGTTGACCTGTGGCTTCGGAACCCAAATTGATAAGGTGAGATCTTGGGCAGCTGCTTATTCACCCTATTTACAATCACCTTTGCCAACACTGCCAACTCGGCCAAGAAGGAAAATGCTCCGGTAATTGTTCGGTTCTGCTCTGCTTTCTTTCTTGAACAGATTGAGTACTGCTGCGTCCCTCCAAATTTGGGGAACTTTCCCCGGATTAAGCCAGATATCAGTGAAAATCTTTTTGAGAGGCTTGAGAATTTTATCCTCGAGCAATTTAAAAAGGTCACTGGTGATCTGACTCTCACCGGGAGCCTTGCCCGTGTTGATTTATCTCAAGGTTTGTAGTACCTCTGCTCCTTTAGGAGGTCCACTATCTGCACCTGGAAGTGAGCTTTCAACAAACTTTTCACTCGCCGGTCTGTTCGTAAACAGATTTTCATAATACCTTTGAAACTTCACATCACTGACTTTTCCTTTGCTCCTTCTCTCCAACCATATCAGGCGAACACTCCTAAGAGTCTCTTTCAACATCTTAAGCGCTTCACGCGGCGTTTCTCCGAGGACGTGCTTGTCTTGAAATCCTTCCAGGCTGCTCTCTAACATCTCTTTTTGGGCAAACTTCCTCAACTTGTTGCACTTCAAGGTTAGCCTTTTTCTTGCCGCAACCAATTCGTCAGTTCTGTTGTTTAGAACCTGCTG